ATGTCCTCCAACATTAAGTCAATGCAGTGTGCAGCACAAGGCGTCCAATACAAATTTTTCCTTTATTCCATCAACATTTACCCCGCTTCTTTATAAGCCGAGGCATTATCTGTTTTCACTTAGATAACATTCTTTTCTCCAACTTCCTCAACGACTTCATCAAGTAATTTAAAAGCAATTTTGCATCTTTTACTTGATCCGATGCATCAATGGACTTTAAAGATTTATTAACTAAAAAATTTATCAATGTACGTCCATTTGTGTCAGTCCAACCGTCAGACATAATACTTCAACCGGTCTCAATCCATGAAGGTTTCGTCAATGGAAAAAATATCGACAATGGAAAAAATAGCTCATCATGGCCCAATATGAAGGGCTTATTGCTACATTGAACGGTATTGAATTCTCATAGAAGAAACGTCCAATAGACCTGCAAATCCGTATTCTTTCGTTTTTCTTCCAATTCTCATTCAAGGTAACTTGGTGCGTTTGATTAACCGTGGAACATTGAGCACTCACGCTACTTATACTTGCTTTTTGTATAATAAAAATCCATGAAATTGTTTGTTGAACTTGACAGTACTTGAGTCTGTTGGTTTTTTTAATTGCGGATCGCCTTCAGTAACAAATGACTCTTGCATTCCAACTCGACAAACCTCATCCATTTCTTCGAATACTGTTCTTTTACCCTCAATCTTTTTAACATATTCGACTTTATTTCTTCTTGAACCTCAATGGAAACTTGCGGACAATCTGCAACTTTCTTATGAGTCTTTGCAAGGTGCTCCTTTAGCCTTTTAATTCCGCCAGTGATCCACTTCTTACAAAATTTGCGCTTATCATATTTATAAGTTTTGCCTTCCTGCGACCTGATTGGAGGAATTTCAACACAATACTTCCAGCCAGGATCAGTCCTCCCATTTACTTTTGATGACTTTGCAATATCTTTAAAGCTGTAAATTTATAAAATAGTAATGAAAAAAAGAAATGATCAATCGTAGCTAGCCGCAATTGATTATACAATTCTATGTAATGAATTTAATTATTAGTTAATACAATTAAACGGGCATATGAGTATAAGATATAATTTAATTATACAATTTTAGAATATATAAGTTAGATATATATTTATAAATTTTCCACCAATATTATTATAATACATTCATTTTCTTAATAAAGGTAAAAATACGCCGACTAAACCATATTTTGTTCATAATAATATATGTATATAACAAAATAATATCAAAGACTAAAAAGAACTCTATAAGTTAAAATATTTTTCAAATCTTTCAATTAATCGATTTTTGTAATACGTTCCGTAATTACTAACTATAAACGCATTCCTAGAACTAAAAAAATTGCTTAGAAACGTTTGAAGCAAACTCTAATTATAAAACTTGTTATTGGAGCAAGACTAAAAGCTAAAATCGACGGCCGAAGCGGAGCTCGATCCAATACGATGAGCTACAAGCACCCCAAAAGCGAAGCTCAATGCAGCGCAGAAAGCCAGAAGATGGCGCAAAAGACCAGACGAAAGGTTTCTCGCAGTGGAGGGTTTCGGGGGCCAGAATCGGACAATCATGCCCTTATTAGGGAAAATAAAGCTCACGTGCGACATACGTGGCCTTTTTAGGTTCATTGTAAATAAGGCGACGCCTCAGGAAAGCCTCAGCGCCTCATCGAACTAATAAAGGCGAACGTTTTATTATTTGAAGGAGGTTTACGCCTTAAGGCGAAAATCCAACGCCTCACACTGAGGCATAGTTTTTTTAAACCATGGTTATATCAATTATAACTTGAACTACTACCGAGGGGAAATGAGCTAGCGAGTACTCGGTGTAGTTAATGCAAGGAGGTTTAATAAACAGGAGACGTCGTAGTATATACTTTATATAAAACGTGAGGAAGCCAGTTTTGAAACTCAGCTGTCATCTTGGTTAACCCAAAACATTCTTATATTTTGCGCTTTATTTTTAGTAGATAACTTTGCTGAAATCAAGTCAAAATATTGATATAAATGATTGAATAATTTGCCAGTTGTTTTCGAGGTTGTAATATACTACAAGAACTGTTTTTTTTTCTTTCTTTATTTCAATCATTACAACAATCTCTATTACAAATTTATGTGAATAAAACATAAGACATAAAAAAGAATTAAATATTATTTACAATAAAGATTTTCGTAAACAATAGAGAATTAACTAAAAATTAGAAATAAAGAATGCGGAAACCCAAAGAAGTCCTTGAGGTCTTGTCGTAGAAAACCGCTGGAATCAAAACGCTTTAAATAAATTCATTTTTATTGATTTTTTGTAAATGTTTATTCACTTTTGAATTCGATCTGTTTCGATAAATAATTATATAAAGCTTATCAAAGAATAGTTGAAAATAATTAATATAGTTCAGTATAATTATTGAAGTGGTTTGATGACATCATAGTGTTTTGGTGATGTTAATATAAATCGAGTAGATTAGAAAAAATAACAATAATTTAATTGAACATTTCTTGCATTAAAATTGTAGAAAATAAAACCAGAGTGGTGTGGACATTCTTGTTGATAATTAGCTCTTGTTCTAATATAGTTTTTTTTTTTTTTAATTATTTTAAAGTACATATCGTGTTTGCATGTTTACCTACAAGCCATCATAGGTGGTATCAACGAATCCTTTTTTTAAGCTATATTAACTACTGCAATATTGCCTGGGCTAGTACCTACCAATCAAAACTAGATTTAATATATAAAAAACAAAAACAAGCGTGCAATATATTAACTAACGCAAATAAATTTATATAAATAAATTTATGGAGGAAAATACAGCAAATATGTATGACCCTCGCAATTTTTATTTTCTCCGGATAAATGCCAAGTTTTAAAGAGAGATTAAAAATATGTAAAGGAGGGATTGTTAAGTATTTTATTAATTTTTTAATTACATTACTATTAATATTATCAAACTCCACACTTTTGTTTAGTTTTAAAAAATATACTGCATCTAAAAGTTCCTTTTCAGTAATTTCATAATTATTCATCTTAGAGGTCTTATTAGAAGTAAGATATGACTTAAATATTTACTTCAGTAGTTTCTATTTTCGACGCTAAAGTGGGACCTACACTGACAAAATATTGATTAAGTGTTTCAGCAATTAAGATTTATTTGTAATAGTTTTATATTTAATGTTTAGATTTATAGGAAGACTATTTCCGTCATTTTGTTTCGTGCCAATTACTTCCTTAATTATGTCCAAGTTTTTTTGGATCATTTTTATGTTTTATTAAATGCTCAATATAATATAATGTTGTATAATGTTTTTCAAAAAAAAAAACTTTCAATAATGAAACTAATTACAAAAATTATAAAAGTATTTTGAGATGGTTATCGAAAAGTCAAAGAAATATTACTTCTTTGACTTTTCGATAACCATCTCAAAATACTTTTATAATTTTTGTAATTAGTTTCATTATTGAAAGTTTTTTTTTTTGAAAAACATAAAGTCGTTGCTTTTTTTTCTACGACTTTATAATTCCAGACGTTATCCATGGATTTAACTTTTTTTTTCTTCACACATTTTGTAACTATAGGAAAAGGCAAACTGTAAAGTTTCATTTATCAATAAACTTATCGTATGCTTCATCTGCGTGTTCAATATCAAGGAGGTCATCCCAATTTGAATCTGATAAAAGAGTTTTAAAATTTTCCATGGATTTTTAATTTATATTTCGCGTATTTTTTATTAACTTTTTGTGCATAAATGTTATCACATTTTTGTGTGATAAGAAATATAAGGAAGTAATCTGAAATGTGGCATTTAAATACTCCTGTTTTTATTTTTTATTTTAATTCATTAGTGACTATTTGATATATGATTGTTGCGCTTTCTCTAGTTATTCTTGAGGTTTTAATAATTAGTGGAATAAGGCCTTTCTGATATATGACGTTAAAGAAATTATTTACATTTGTATTTAAATGACTCAAGTCAAAGTTAAAATCACCTATAAAATAAATGCTTTTGTTTTCGCTTAATTTATTTTCAATTATGTTTTTAATGTGCTTTTCGAAATGTTTTATTGAGCTGGAAGGTGGTCTGTATAAAACGTGGATGATAATTTTTTTTGTGGTTTTATTTATTATTTCCTCACATAAGGATTCACAATCACTAGCGGTTGAGCTAAAATCTTTTTTTTAGCTTATATTATTTATAAATACACACAAACCTCCTCCTTAGTTCTCAGATCCTCTGTTACCAAGTTATAAATGATTTAATAATTTGGTAGCTAAAAATTTGTAGTTGTCTCTATATGTTCATCATTACACCATGTCTCGCTGAGACTAATAATTTTAAAATTAAATTTAACCTCGCATAAAAATTTTTTAAATCATTTAGGCCGGTGGCCATATAGCAAAAATGTGACTAAAAATGAGTTTTCGTTGGACACATGTAATAACAAAGTTTTTTGTTTTGATATTGTTAGAGCATGGTACTAAGATACGAAAAACAGAAACTTGCCCCATTTTTGCCCTGCAGTTTTTGAGAAAATATGGTTCGGGTCTTTTACCCTGAAAAGGCAATGTAAAAAAAAAAATCGTCAAATTTTGTGCAAGTAATATTTTTCTTGTAGTAGATTAAACACTGAATACCTTTTTCTTTAGAACATTGACCTTAAAACGCATTATATCTCTCAATAGAGACTGACGCTATTTGTGGTGGTGGGGGGAGGGCGGTGAAATTTAATGGTTTTATGTTCATTCAGATAGCAAATGTGGATCTTTTATTTTATTTAGTTTGCAAGTTTGAACTTTTTTGTCAGGTCAGTTTGCAAATTTGGACTAGTAAACTTTTAAGACTTACGGTCCCCTTTTACTTAATATCTATTCTCGCCGGCATTTTTTCGGAAGTAAGCATCATAATTGATGCGTTTAATGTGTAAAATAAGCGAATCAAAATTTGGAGGTAGCATCTCTTCTGTAGATTTGCCCATTTTGAATAAGTATTATCGTACTTTACTGACAACATCTTTTTTACTTGCACCACAAAGGTGACAAACAAATTTCTGTATGCCATTAACAACATCATCTGATACATCTAGTGACATTCCGATACCTCGGAATGCTGTACAATATTCTTTTTTCTTTTCTGCTGTCTTTAAGGCGTATAATTTACCTTTTCATTGAAAAGCAGACACTGCATCACAATCTAAGTAGTTAGTAGAAACACTTCAAACATTTACGTTTTCAGATACAAAATTAATTTATATAAACAACACAGTTTAATATATTATTTTTGATAAAGTAGCAAAAAAGAGCATGAAATAAATTCTTACTAAGAAAGATAATGCTTTCACTTATACAATTTTATTTAAATCTACCTGTAAAAGAATGGAATCCGATCATTGCATCACACCAATCGTAACCAATCTCTTTGGCGATTTTATTTACATTAAGGATACGTTGTTTGTTTCCACATCCTGTTTCAAAATGAAGAGTTGCAGATATGAACCAACTATGGTATAATGCACTTACGAACACATCTGTATCGGGACTTGCAAGTATAACATGAGCATATGAAACCGAAGCATGCTTACAATGTAACAATAACCGAGTATCAGCTTCTTCGTGGTCGCTTCGAAGTTCGGGCAATTCCGTACAAATCGAATTTCTGAAGTAGTATGTGCTATCACCATGTGTAATAAATATCTCTATTTCATTTATTGCATAACTTTTCTATTCTTCCAAGAGAAACTTAAGCTGGCCTCTTTATTGCTGCCAACACTCATAAACTTCTTCCATTGTTTCGGTACTTTTTGATCAGGCCCAAATATAGTAACATTCTGGGCACCAGATTCAGCTCGTCTTTGTCGCTTGGCGTTTTTAATACTAGTTGTTGGATACCTGTCCGAACAAAGTCAACTCTATTTGACTTATATCTTAGAGCATAATTCATTGTGAATATCAATCGACTGAGTTTCCCAAAATTTTCGTGTATAGGTTTAATTATTTTCAATATAGCCGTGCCGTCCAAAATTAATGCGTTGTGTTGGGAGTTATTAACTGATAATTTATCGATACATTTATCTTCGAGTATATTCATGTGCTTCAACTTCGTTGTTTTTAGTAAAGATCCGTCTAAAGATGCCAACTGAGGCGGGAATACTCTCAACGAATACTTTAGTTCTTCCATATTTATGTTACGGTTACGTGCAATAAGCAAACGACGAACCCAAAATTTACAATTGTTTTTTAAAATTACAGTTTTTCCTGTGGACAATTTAACTAAATTTTTGTAGTTAGCAAATGTCTTTAGCTTTAACATTTTTCTTCTCATAAAAATATCCGGGTCATCACTATTTAGGCTATTCTTTATAAATTCAATACAGTTTTTGTCTCGTTATGCTCGATCTAGATCTTTTGTAGTTTCCTTATCTGCATCAACTTCAGGAACAATATTTACAAGATCATTTGTGACTTCATTTTCAAATGGATTAATCATTGAAGAAACTGTTTCCATTACATCAATAACTGATTGTTCATCTTTCCGAATTCTTGTTATATCAAAATCTTTACGAACCCTTAAAATCAGAAATCAATACTTTTCTAATAAGATCATATTAACTAGTAACAATGGTATACAACAATATAACAATATAACAACTAAAACCTTAGGTTAATAATGGATCTCATCAGACGTTCTGTTATGTTCACCTAATTTCTTTATAAACTGGATAGGAGCAGGGTTGCAACTAGCGAATGATTACAATGATTGCAAAGAATGATTTACAACATTAAAACATGTATACAAGAAAAAAGAAAACCAATAAAAATACTAAAAAATACCTGAATTCCTTAACATAACCACTAAATAATTTACATTGTTGGGTAATTAACGATCTTTCTGGTTGTAATAAAATCCATCTCTGCACATTCATAGTTGATATTTTGAGGTTTATCAGTATCCGAAAAAGGTTCTGTTTGAGAAGACTCACTTTGTGATGTTTCATTATCATAAACAAGGCTCTTTTCAGCAAAATGGCCACTTGATAGATTTTCAAGCAAAACTATTTCACTTGAGTTTCTTCTACCAGGTGTGTGGAAAATTAAATGTGGAAAAGCCTTGACTTTAAACGGGAGACTTTATAATTACTGGCATCAATATTTTCTTCACAATAAACAATTGAAACAAACAAACTAAACAACTTTGACATAAACATGATTTTCTTCTTTTTAATTTTTTTTTTTTTTTTTTTTATTTGAAAATATATTAAAAGATTTACTGTAATAATGAACTTTAGGTTTTTTATTTGCTAAACACTTTATATAACTTATGTAGCATGTTCAATTGTATTTAACTTCAAGAGCAACACAGTCCTTTCCGTTAATATGTATAAGAATATTTTCATCGGATTTATAGTTGGCTGCTTCTCTTAACCTCCCACAATCCAAGGTTTTTGCTCTTGAGAGCGATTTGAGCGTTCATTTTAGAGATATCTGAAACCAGCATTGAAAATTAATGTTTCTAAACAGTTATTACCCCCAGTTATTATCAAAAAGATACAAATTGAAAATTAAAATAAAGTAGATTTTCGAGAAAAACTGTAGTATAAAGTATGCATTAGCTATAGTTTATTAGATAAATTTAGTTAATAATGTACAATTTTACCTTGTTATTATTCCATTTGTGTTTCTTTTGGCATATTATGCATATATCTGGCCACAAATAATTACTCTCACCCAGTTGTTTACACCGAAGTTTTTTTCTTTTTGGCTGAACTTCGTTAGTGCTTGCATTTATAGATGTCGATTGTTGCATTTCATGATCTATATTAGTTTTCTTACATTCTATTAGTTCAGTTTGTCGGTGTTCATCCTAATCAAATTTTTGTGTCTGCTTATTATTTTCTGCTCTTTCAAGTTTGAAGATATTACAAATACGTTCGTAACATTTTGAATGGTAAAAATAACCCATGGCAAACCTTTCCATTTCTACAATATCTGTCATTGAGTTGAACTCCTCTTCTGTTTTAGCGTTAATAGTTCTAAAAGAAAATTTTGCCACACCTCTTGCCACACCATTTTTATTTCTTGCTTGCACCACCTTTTTCGTATGCTAAATATTTTTTTATTGATTTAGTACAACATTTTTTTAAATGCATTTATTCGGTATATCATCAAAATGAATCGAACAAATATTATCGCATAACGATGTTGCTGCCATTTTTTTTTGTTTATATTTTTACCAAACGTGACCAAGATATTTTACGAAAAAATTTATTAAAAAGTTTTGAATAACATTAGGTTGCTTTAGTTGTTTTGTAAATTACTAATTATCAACGATAGACTAATCGTTAGATAACGACAATGCACGATAAAGGAAAGTAAAATGATTGATTGTGAAAAAACTGCTGAGTAAAAAAGAGGCAAGTTTATATTTTTATAATGTTTATTCTAAGAAACGCTTGTATCAATATAGAAATTTCAGTTATTAGATGTGTCCAACGGGATGAAGCGATTATCAATGTAGACCACTGACCTAATTCAAAATTTTTTAAAAAACTCCTAATATTTAAATGCATAATTGAAAATGAATTTACATCTAGTCCTTGCATTATGTTTTCAGATGTAGGGTAATATATAAGTAATATAAAGTATTAATATTTTGAAAACTTTTTTATTACTATAAATATTAATATTGAGTCAGAATGGTTATCTAGAAGTATCCAACTTTTATTTTGTTATGAATTAGATTCTGAGTTAAGTGTAACATTATCTTCATTCATGAGTAGGGTATTTATTATAAACCGTTAAATTATCATTTTACTGAAAAAGAAAATAATAATAATAATAATAATAATGATAAGAAAAAAAAAAAATGCTGAGTATAAATGATAAAGTAATAACCCGGTGGGAAATGAGCTAGCGACTAGCAAGCGACTAGCTAGCTTTATAGCAATTTTCAAGCGATTTTTTTTTTCTTATTTTATTCTTTACTAATATCTCTAACATCTTTAAAAATTCGATTTTTAGTGTTGAATCTATTTTAATTATGAGAATAATTGAACTTTAATTATTGCGATTTTGTAGCAATGTGTCACTAGCTACATATCAAAGCTTTTTAGCTAGCTACAAAATATCTACAAATCTATAGCTGGTTGATAGCTACATACCAAAATTTTTTTGATAGCGATTTTATTACGATATGACGGTAGCTACAATAGCCTGTGAGTCTTTAGCTTATTAAGCTAGCTGTCCTCGTAGCCAAATCGCTGTCTTTGTTTTTACAAATATCGATAGCTTTTTGCTAACTTTAAAAAGCTAGCGATCCTCGTGGCCAAATCGCTGTCTTTATCGTAACGATTATAGCTAGCTATTCGCTAGCCGACTTCACACCAGGAAAGCACTTTATTTTTCCTCAACTCTCTAACTACTGTTAACAACCTAAATTCTCTAACTATAAGTTTATCATATTTTATAGAAGAATATTTACCATTTTTTCAGTGCATCTTCATTTCTTCTAAGAGTTTTTTTGTTATGACCGTTGTTTCAAAAGAGAAGTCTTTGTTGATGTATGTTCCTGTTCCTTTAAGTCGATTAGACGAATGTAGTACTTTTATTTTGTCTTTGTAATCTAGTATTTTAACAACAATTGTTCTAGTTTTGTTTTCTTCTTTTTTTCTAACTCTGTGAGCCCTCTCGATATCAACGTTCTTAATATTTAATTCGTTTTTAAATAAAATTAATGACTTTTTTTGGTTTCTTGATTGTTTTCGGGAGCCCGTTGATGCGAAGATTATTCCTTCTGAGTCTATTTTTTTAGCTGTCGTAGTTTATTTTTTTTCTCCTCGCCTATAATATTTTTGTTTTTAATTTTCTTTTCTAATTCGCATACCTTTTTTTCTTGGATGTCTTGTGTAACTGTTGAGCTTTTTTCGATATCTTTATCGATGTCTTTTCGATATCTTTATCGATGTCTGTATCGGTGTCTTTTTTCGATATCTTTTTATTTGTCTTTTCGAAGATTCTTACTCTCTCTGTAATTTCTTTAAGTTTAATGTTTACCTTTTCGTTTTCTTTTTTTAAAGAGTCGCAAATTTGTTTTGATTTATGTATTTCATCAAGTAGTTTGTTTATTTTATAGTTAGTTATTTTTAGGTTACCACTTATAAGCTTAAAGATATCTTTATGCTGTTTTGAAAACATTTCATGAAATATATCTGGAACAACATTAGTTGGAATTTGTGATTGCCAAATATTTTAAGAAAAACGATGTACTTCGATTAGAAAGAACTAATAGTTGATTTGATTTTTAAACATAAATCTTTTTTGTTGTCGCAATACTTTTCCAAAAAAAAAGTGATCTGCCGTATTCTAATGTGTGATCTGCCAAATATTTCGCTAAATATTTCTGTGATTATTTTAGGAGCTCCAAGAAGACCTAATTATTGCATTACAGAGCACCTCAGAGGAGCATTTAACTTGGAAGTTTACGCTCCCTTATGTCGAAAAAATACCAAGAGTAGGCATCGAACCACAGACCGGTGAAGGATCCAGCATTTTTTGGTATTTGAGATAGCTAACAGATATGGCACAAGCTCGAAATAGTTGTATGTTTATACTTATATCAAGTAATGATGTTTTGCAAAATATTGCGATGATTGGAGGATGGAAACTAAAAAATCACTAAAATTTCATCCCCCCTGTCCCAATCGTGAGAGCAACAAGTTAATAAAATAATTTTTTTGAAATTCTAAACTTTTTTTATATTCATTGATAAAATTGAAGTTTCATCGAAATATCTCTTACAGTTCATAAATTATAACTATATAAAGTTTAACTCACCTCAACTTTGAGGGGTTTATAGCCATTATTTTTGAACGCTTAGAGATTGTAAAACAATACCTAAAATTTATCCATGAATATAAATTTAGTTTAGAATAGCAAAAAAAATTACTTCATCAACTTGTTACTTTCCCGTTTGGGGCAAGAGGATTATATTTTAGGTCATTTTTGGTCCCAGCTTCCAATTATTGCAACCTTTTTAAACCATTACTTGACATAAGTATAACATACAAATATTTCAAATAATATCTCAAACACCAAAAAAAGCTAAATCCGTCAATGCCATAAATCTCATGTTTCTGAAGCAAGTTTGTTTCAAAATTCAGCGTTTAAACGCTGCAAATGTGCAATAGATATTCATATACATATAAATTTTCAGCTTAAGACAAATATCTCAAGAAAATATGTAAAAAAAAATTTATTAACTTTTAAGATTATGAGTTTGCAGTAAGATATTGGATCAAATTTCAATTTATCAAAACCATTCAAAAACTGGAAAGCGAGGAACCAGTTGTCGTAGCTAGCTCCTTGAATCTACTCTTCTTCTTTTTTTTAGTGTTTTTTTACAAGAACTCTTTATTTTAAGTAGCTTCTGAAGCTTTTCCTAGCTCATCACACGGTGTTCATTGTATTTAATTAATTTTACTGTAAGCACAACAAAATTAAATTTTTTATTACGAAATATTTTTCTTAAAACAAGAAATACGTTTCTTGTTTTAAGAAATAAATATCCTACTCTGCATTTTATTTTTAAAATAATTTTTTTAAACTATGCCTAATAGATTTACAATTTTGTTGTGAGTTCTAATATATTGTTAACAACTTTTAAAGATTTTAAAAGTTTTGGAGTTCTTTGTATCCAAAAAGTCTGAGATTTCTCATTTGTAGGCATTTTTTAAACTATAACTCAAGACCTAGTGGCTGGTCTTTATCAACAAAAACTGCTTTCAAAAGGATTTCCGTTTTGATTCTATCCGTTTTTACCTCTTTTGTTTTTGAATACAGAAATTTTTACCATTTTTATATTGTGATCTCGGTAAAAAGATGTTAGCGCCAGCACCAAACACCTCTATGGTTTTACCTTGATTTGAATTTCACCTCTGCAGCAGACTCATTATACATCTGCCAATAGTCATGTTTATTTTAAAAGGGTAAATTAAAAACAATACAATGTAGATAAAATAAGGTTTAAAATGGGTCCCTGCGAATTACCTTGTTTAGTTTCGAATCAAATCACGATTCGAAGCAGGCCTTTTTTTTTTTTTCCATATATTTTTACAACTACATAGCTTTAACAATACATACTTTTATTACAAATAGTTTTAACAATATATACTTTTTATACAAATACAGTCAAAATGCTTTGAAAATAACTGAAATAATACTAAGATATATTTGATGTACAAAGTAATAAAATAATGTAAAATAGTTTTTCAGTTTATATTTTGAAAAGACAAAAAAAGTCTTAAAAAAGGAAAAATTAAACCTTTAGTTATGCAGTCAAGGGAAACTCGCAGAAAACTGTGTAAAGTCTTGTCATCGAGAACCGTTTTTTTTAAACAATTTCATGAGATACTCATAAATATTTTATTCATTACTTATTACATTTTTCAATATAAATAGTCGTGTTTTTAGGAAGGAGCATAACATAAACATAACATATATACATA